GCGGAACGACTTGCCTTGACTGCTTCTGCGGCATGCCCTTGACGCCTAACAATGTATAAGGGTGTCTCACACGATCTTCCTGGGAGCCCTCCATGCTGCGCCGCAAGTGAGGCCCCGTGGAAGTGGTCGACAGCTCTTGATCGAACACAGCGGTGGTAAAGCTTGCCCATAGTGTTGGTCGCCAGGCTACCCTTTTAGTTGATGGCCAAGTGCACTTCTCTAGCCCACTGTACTGAACCACGCCACTCCACCGCAGTAGGACACCAGAGGCTATGTTCCTGTCTTGCCAAGACGGTTCTGCAAAGAAGGGGAAACCAATCCATGCCATCGCCTCGGGGGTAACTTTGCTGAGAGCATCTCTAAGCCCGTCTGGTCCCGCGGCAATGTTCATGGCAGCCCGCCTCATGAGAAATCGACCGGCCAAGTGTGTGGGGGCGCACCTGGTATCAAGTGCGGGCGCGTCCTGGACACGGCGGCTGTGAAAAAGACCTTGCCACTCACGCGCCTGTTGCCTCTGAACTTGCCGAGTGTAGGCTTGACACGTGCTCGGAGGATGAAATGGGCCACTCGGTTCACTCCTTAATCCCTCTTTCATAACAAGGTCCACACTCCTAAACTCATAAGCAAGAGGCGAGGGATGATGGTCGAGGGGATCACGGGTGCGTTCTGGGGTAACCATTGGATCGTCACGCTGAGCCTTCGAAACCAGAGCAAGACTGTTGCTGTTGTATCTTTCCCCACTGCCACCAGTATGGAGTCTCTGCCCCTTGTTCGATGCTACAGAAATGCTCCTGCAGATGCTGCGCAGCCTCAGTCGAAAAAGGGATGAAAGTGACGTCGGTGCCTAACATGTGGGGAAAGGCCATGGATGCTTGGCGTTCCCCCCCCCAAGACGCAACAACTTGTGGTGTCATTATGCACTTGGCACCTGCGCACTAGGGGAATGTTGCGCCTCTGAGGCTATGTGAATAAGAAAATCACAACGATCATGCTCTAAGTTCTGACCAACCATGATCCTCGAGCGTAGCACGAATTGATCCGCATGCACGTTCTTACAAAGCAGCCGCTCGGCTGTCGCATGCACCTGCCTATAAAGTGACATCAAACAGGGTTCCCCAAACCATTGCGGTTCCCTGGCGATGTCCCCTGGCGTACATCCCCCAGTAAAGTGCACAGGCTATCTACCTACCTCTGGCAGCTGCGAAGGAATACGCACCTTTCGAAACATGCTTAGGCAACCCAACTTGGCCATGAGAAGCTGATGTGGACGCCCCTGATGTAAGGTTGCCTGGTACTGCTTCCTTTGGCCGCAAAGATATCGGAGCCATCTTCGTTCACCTGTTGGACAGCTTGCGCCATGTGCGCCGAAGGGAAACCTGCCACAGGGGGAGCTCACCTGTTTCCGAATCTGCCTGAACTGATCGACATGCTTGTTATCTCTGAGAAGAGAAGGGTCGAAGCGTGGTGCTCTGAAGACTTTGCTCAGTACTGGCATGGTGCACTGGAAGGTGCAAAGAACAGATACATGGTCCCATTGCTGAGAGAACTGATCCAACTCCTTCCACACAGGCGCAGACACTCCGATGACCATCTGAGCTAACAAATGTACCACGCACATGTAGTCGATTATGTGTACTGGCAAACTCGTAACCGCCCCTATCCCCGTGGAAAATCTTGACTGCGGCGAGCCTACCTTCTTCGTTGGCTAAGCGTCAGCCTCGTCCCCGTCCTTCCCAAAAAGCCCCATGCACGCACAGTGTCGGTCGGCTGGATCGCAAACGGTTTGCTGGTGCGAAAATCGCAGGCCCGCTCTCCGACGTGGACAGGGAAGTCTCATAGCCTCGAAACAAAGGATGCGCACTCTTCTAGCACCATAGCTTAAGCCCGCAAGGAAGAATTTGGAGACGTCCTCCTTCCTCATCCTGCACCACCTCACCCCTCGTCGTCCTCTGTGCCCCACTCCCTGCCTTGCTGCCTCATACGCCCACGGGCCCTTGAAAGAGCCCACCGCGAGGCAGCCTTCAGACAGTAAATGGTGCAGTGATTGTATCTTGCGATAACGAACCGTGGAGAACGAACCAAGTCCCGTTTGCGCCTCAGTTGCTCACAGATGGACGCGGAACGCCAGTGGAAGACCCACACGAAGGATCTCAGGAGCCCCGAGCCCACTTCGAATTCAAAAGAGGACTGGTCTCGCAGTCTTGCACGGGATTGGCCACGACCAGTACACAGGTGACGACGGCGTGCAACAGTGGGCCAGTGCTGCGATGCATCGAGAGGTTGAGGCGGAGGCCTGCAGACTGCGCAGTTCTGGCACATCGCTGGAAGGACGTATCGAAAACGGTCCTGAATGAAATTGACGTACGTGAGGTCTGTCCTCAAGCAGTCCTCGAATCCCTGCGAGGCCTGTTTATTACGAGGCGCGCAAAAGCACGCAGAAGCAGCCAACACACATGCAAAACACACACACACACACACACACACACACATACACACCGAGGATCTCAACGTCCTGGGCCCTGGGATGCCTCTGGAGATCTCTGGAGACCCAATACAACGTCGCAGATGCAAACAAACACACACACACACAAAACAAAAGGAAAACGATCCGCTATCCTCGAACCGCGATCCCAGACACCCACCAGGAGGAGCCTGAGAACAAAACACACAGGAGACGACAAGCGCTCCCTGACTGCCTGTGGCAACCACGGGTTCCGAAGCGGCAATCCCCCGTTCGGGCGCGAATCCGCCCATGGTCTCTGGACCATGAATCGCGCGGATTGCGAGGTCCACCTTCTATAGTGGGGAGGGAGGAAGAGAAGGACAAGCGGGGAAGCAGAGGAGGACGTAGAGAGAGAAGGGGGGAGGAGGAGGAGGAGGAGAAGGAAAAGGAGGACAGGTAGGAGGGTGACACCTCCTTCCTCATCATCCCTTGACTCGTCACTTGAAGTTGTGTAAACGAGATATGGGTGTATCGGTGTGTGTGTGAGAGAGAGAGAGAGAGAGACAAAAGGAGAGTGGCAAGTAGAGGGAGAGAGGGAGAGAAAGACAGAGAGAGAGAGAGAGAGAAAAAAAAAAAAAAAAAAAAAAAAAAAAAAAAAAAAAAAAAAAAAAAAAAAAAAAAAAAAAAAAAAAAAAAAAAAAAAAAAAAAAAAAAACGAGATATTGAGATGGAAACCCCGTGAGACGTACGAAATTCAGGGAAACGGAAGCGAAGACTGGAGAGGCCGATAGGCATGCACGGGCAAAATCAATCGGCATCGAATCGGGAAATCCGCCGACCCCGTCGGCGTGGACCCCCTGTCAGCGTGCGCTCAGTCGACGCATCCGCTGTCTTCTTTCCCTGCGTCTCCGTCGTCCCCTTTCCCTACACCCTCCTCTTCAAGCCTGCCAGCGAGAGAAAACCGTAGCAAAGTCGTACTTAAGTCGAAGGGAAGCCCCTTCCCTTTGATCCCTCCCCAGCCGGGGGGGGGGTCCTGGGGGGTCTCGGGGGGAGGGTCAGATGCGCATCCGCCCCTGAAGACTAAGAATTGCCAAGAGGCCCCAAGCAGGCCCAAGAAGAAGACCACGAACCGACATTTCGAGCTTCCCACCCCAAGAAGCCCCCAGAAGGCCCCAAGAGCCCCTCAAGCGGCCCAAGAGGCCCCCAAGAAACCCCCAAGAGGCCCAACAGAGGCCCCAACAGGCCCGAAAACATCCAAGAGGGCCTTTCAACCAGAAACCCCAGCACGGTGGCGGGAAGGGCCGCAGGCCACAAGGCTCCCTGTCTGTCTCTGCTACGACTCTCCCTCAACCCACATGGGGAGCATCTCCTTCGCCTTCCCCTGCTCCCTTCCACCTTAATCCCCCTCCTCCTCCTCCTCCTCCTCCTCCTCCTCCTCCTTGTATTCGTCGTCGTCGTCTTCAGGGTCGGCGGCACCGGCCGTGAGGCCTTAGCAATAGAATCGAATCGGAATGCGCGCCAGATCTGACCGCATCGGCGCGAAGTCGGAATCGAACCGGATCGCAGGATGCACAACAGCACCATGTAAGCATCGGGAGCGGCCGGGAGGGGGGTGTCCAAAAGGGGGGGTGCAAATCATGACCGGCGGCATGTGCGCGGCCCAGCGGGGGGGGGCCAGGGACGTAATGAAGCAAGAAGAGGCGCCATGAAATCTGGGGAGAGATCAAGGCCCCCGCCATGATATCCACCCCCCCCAGTCATCACCCCCCTCTTTTCCGCCCCCGAATGTAAGCATCGGGCTGCATCGCCCCGTCAGCATCTCAAAACCGAGTCGGATCGGGCCGACCAGAAGCGATGTCGAGCCGGGCAGGTCGGGTTGAAACGGGCCCCGAGGCGGGGGGGGGCGGCGGGGCAGGGCAAGGGGGGCACGGGGAGCGGGAGGCGAAGGGGGCAAAGGGGGGAAGGAGGGGGGGGGGGGCAGTGTGAGCGAGGGAGGGGGAAGAACAAAACGGCGTGGTAAGGAACGGTGTGTGTGGGCGCCTGTGCGAAAGAAACGAAGGGATAGGGAAGAGAGACAGAGAGAGAGAGAGAGAGACAGAATTATCCTGGCGAAGGACCCAACCATATGCATGTGTGAATGCCGCGTTGTGGGTACCGCTCTCGGTGGAGCTAGCTCCCTATAAGGGCCACGCCCCTCGTGAGGGGCGTGCCGAAATGGGCGGGGGAGCGCATGCGGACTCTGCAGCGGGGGCCTTCGGTGGAGCTCCCTATGGGGCCACGATCCTCGTGAGGGGTGTGCCGAAATGAGCTGGGAGCCTTCGGTGGGGCGCCCTATGGGGCCGATCCTCGTGAGGGGTGTGCCGAAATGAGCGGGGGGACGCATGCGGACCCTGCCGCTGGGGCCTTCGGAGGAGCTCCCTATGGGGGCCACGATCCTCGTGAGGGGTGTGCCGAAATGGGCCAGGGGGGACATGCGGACCCTGCCGCTGGGGGCCTTCGGAGGAGCTCCATATGGGGGCCACGACACTCGTGAGGGGTGTGCCGAAATGGGCGGGGGGACGCATGCGGGCTCTGCCGCTGGGGCCTGTGGTGGATCTCCCTATGGGAACACGACCCGTGTGAGGGGTGTGCCAGGATGGGATGGGCATACAGGAAGGAGGGAGGAGGGGGAGGGGGCAGCGGGAGGTGAGGTGTGCTGACGCGCGGCGCTGTCTCTTCAAAACGAGGACCCAACACGACAAGATGGTTGGGAACAAAAAACAAAGATAAAGAGAGAGAGAGAGAGAAAGACAAACGCAGAAACCGAGAGAGAGAGAGAGGAACAAAAAAAAAAAAAAAAAAAAAAAAAAAAAAAAAAAAAAAAAAAAAAAAAAAAAAAAAAAAAAAAAAACGAGAGAGCGAGGCAAAGAGACATAGAGAAAGAGAGGAAGGGAGGGAAGCAAATCAAGCTACACAGCGAGAGGGGGGTACTAAGATGGATATGCAAGTGGAAACGGGGACGCAAGGGGGAGAGAGGAAACAAAGAGAAATGGAGACAGGGACTTTGAAGGGAGATGGGCAAGCACAGCGGGCAGGCGCTCCGAGGCAAGGGTGAAGAGCTTTGTTTGCATCTTCGGGTGGTCGTGTCTGTCCCATGGCGTCGCTATCGATCCCGCGTCGAATCCACGTCGAACGAGCGCCGGATCTACATCGGGACTGTGCCGAAACCTCGTCGGGCACAGAGGAAATACCATAAACTGCATAATCGACAAAATCTAAGCCCCCCGAAATTGCAACGTAGAAACAGAAACTGCTGACCGACAGGCCCCCAAAAGACCCTAGGGAATGGAATCCTTCAACGACGTGTGGGGTTATCGTCTTCATGACGCGGCGCCCAGATGAAGAGAAAAACTGAGAATCCTTCCACTTGTAGTCGTCCTGCAGAAAGATCATCACCTGCTCATTCATGTGGAAGGACGGCATTGGCAACAGGGGGATGAAGGGAGAGAGACGAGGGGAACGAGGAAAGAGACGTGAATCAGGAGCACAATCGGAAGAGAGACAGTACAGGAAAGGAGGAGGAAGAGAAGTGATACTCCCACTGGTGCTCCTACTCCTACTCTTGCCGCCACTACTACTACTACTACTACTACTACTACTACTACTACTACTACTACTACTGCTGCTACCACTACTACTACTACTAAGACTACTACTACCACTCCTACTCCTACTCCTACTCCTACTCCTACTCCTACTCCTACTCCTACTCCTACTACTACTAAAACTACTATTACTACTACTACTACTACTACTACTACTACTACTACTACTACTACTACTACTACTACTACTACTACTGCTGATAGTACAACTACTAACTAGTACTAACAACTAACTACTACTACTACTACACTACTACTAACTAACTACTACTACCACTACTAACTACTAACTACTAACTACTAAACTACACCACACTACTACTACACTACTTACTCCACATAATACTACTACTACTACTACTACAACTACTACAACGAACTATTACTACACGACTCACTACCAACGGCTCAACTACTACTTCCTACTGCTACTAGCACTACTGCGACTACTAAGAGGCAAAACATTAACTGCAGCTACTACGACTACAACAACTACTACTACTCTACCTACGTGGGCTACGACTACTACTACTACTACTACTACTACACTACTACGACGACGACGACGAACTACGACCTACTTACTACTACTACTACTACCTACTACTACTAACGACGACGACTACTACGACCGACTACTACTACTACTATACTAACTACTACTACTACTACGACTACACTAACTAACTACACGACGACGACGACGACGACGACGACGACCGACGACACTGACGACCGACGACGACGACGACGACGACGACGACGACTATCGACGACGACGACAACGACTACTACTACTACAACTACTAACTACGACTACTACGACGACTACACGACTACTAAACTACTACTACACTACTACTACTACTACCACTACTACACTACTACTACTACTACTACTACTACTACTACTACTACCTATTTACTACTAACTAACTACTAAAACCTACTACTACTACTACTACTACAACTAACTACTACTACTACTACTACTACTACTACAAACTGACTACTACTACTACTACTACTACTACTACTACTACTACTACTAACTACTACTACTACGACTGATACTCTCACTGCTGCGACTACTACTACTACTACTACTACTACTACTGCAACTGCTGCTGCTGCTGCTACTACTACTACTATTAGTACTACTACTACTACTACTACTACGACGACTACTACTACTACTGCTACTACCACTACGACCACGACGACTACTACTACTACTACTAATACTACTATACTACTACGACTACCACTAAAAAAGACTACTACTACTACTACTACTACTACGACGACTACTACGACTACTGCGACTACGACCACGACGACTACTACGACTACTACAACTACTTCTATACTACTACGACTACCACTAAAAAATACTACTGCTACTACTACTAA